TTGGTCTCTATAGGAGCCTGGTGGTCAATGTCGGAAAATTCTACACCATTTACTAATATTCAATACAATAAGCAAATAATATTGTTGCTGTTTGTAAATAATAAATTGACTCATAGAAGACGTGGTACACTGAAATTTTCCACTCATAGAAAACGAGATTTTCTCCCGTGGAAAACGGGATATCATTGCCACGTCGCTGTTAATTTCACCAGCTAATTATTTTGGGAATTATTCTTAATGCAGCAGTCTTTGGACTGTTAACATCATAAAAACATCTCAGTTGAATTAACTTAATTATTAGTACTAAGATAGAGTAAATGTGACCTTTCTACGACTTGTTGTCATCTGGACAAGAGAGCCAGGCCGTCAGTGAAGGAGGGCCAGGAGTCAGCCATTGTTAATTTTTAAGGTCGCTGGAGCAAATTTAGCTCCTAGAATTCTCCCTTGGACAGCTGTGTCACAGGAGTAAAGTGCTGTTATCGACACACAACTACGTCTACTATAAGGGAAGTGTATTACCGAAATCCGTTTATTATCTTTCTTTCTTTATTATGCACCCCATACCCATCCCGTGGGCGGTGGTGTAAAGGTTACAGAGGCACATAATCGGTTCAGGAACTGAACCCTCTACTTCGTTTAGCTAAGCAAAAACAATCTTTTGACGCTAGTTACACAATTATTAATGTTATATATACTCGTACACATACTCATACATACATGTACATATAAATAAATATACATACACATACATATACAACCATCTACACAAATACACACATCAATAATCTTTGTATCACAAGTAATTCAACAAGAGGTTCACAACAGTCACTATACAAGGCACTTTACATCTATGGTGAGTCACACAGTTACTAGTCTTGCTCCACACCCACCCAACTGGGCGGCAGCTTTACAGTCATGTGCAGGCTGCACCTACAGTAAGCAAATTTTGGATACTTCGCTAAGATTTCGGGCAGCACATCATTATGAATGAAGTACTTACACATTTCTTGGACTCCATTGATGGTGTTATCTCTGAATTCCGCGATTTTTTTCACATTCCATTATATAATGACGCAAAGTATGCGAATAGTTCTGCTGACAGAGTTTACATTTAGTCAAATCTAATCAGCAGATGTTACAAACTCCCAGAGGTACTTGTAGCCGAGCCTAAGCCTAGCAGTGGTAACATGCTAACATCTAGAAGTCTGCTAACCTTATTGGATGACCCATAGACGTGCGGTTCTTCCTGCATAATAGAATGATGATAGATGGAGCAACTGGTGTGAATTTCACTTTGCCTCAAGTCTACGAAATTTAGTTGATGTTCCCGGAATATTACTGCCCTCAGGCTGCTCAAAGGCAGTCCAAGTTGGTAATCAATTTCCTCTTTATGAGCAAAAGTCTTGGCCAACTCATCAGTTCTATCATGCATTCGGAGACCAATATGGGAAGGAATCCACAGGAGACAAACTCTGACTCTATCATTGATTATTTCATTATATCTGTGTCTAGCTTCAGAGATAAGCACGTCACAGTTATGCCTTGGGGAGCTGAGGGCAGTCAAGGATGACAAGGAGTCACTTACAATTAGCGTGTCAACTCAGAATTCATATACGCGCTCGAGTGCCAGGATTATGGCAACCAATTCTGTTTGAAGAGTGGAGGCCCAGTTACTGAGACGCGCTCCACACTCATGGGAGCAGGAACCATCTCTCACTGTCACAACAACTGCACTTCCAGCTGAGATAATACCCCCACCCACCGGGGAGATAATACCTGCACCCACCGGGGAGATAATACCTGCACCCACCGGGGAGATAATACCTCCACCCACCGGGGAGATAATACCTCCACCCACCGGGAGATAATACCCCCACCCACCGGGGAGATAATACCTCCACCCACCGGGGAGATAATACCTCCACCCACCGGGGAGATAATACCCCCACCCACCGGGGAGATAATACCTCCACCCACCGGGGAGATAATACCTCCACCCACCGGGGAGATAATACCCCCACCCACCGGGGGGATCATACCCCCACCCACCGGGGAGATAATACCCCCACCCACCGGGGAGATAATACCTCCACCCACCGGGGAGATAATACCCCCACCCACCGGGGAGATAATACCCCCACCCACCGGGGAGATAATAACTCCACCCACCGGGGAGATAATACCTCCACCCCCGGGGAGATAATACCCCCACCCACCGGGGAGATAATACCTCCACCCACCGGGGAGATAATACCCCACCCACCGGGGAGATAATACCCCACCCACCGGGGAGATAATACCCCACCCACCGGGGAGATAATACCCCCACCCACCGGGGAGATAATACCTCCACCCACCGGGGAGATAATACCCCCACCCACCGGGGAGATAATACCTCCACCCACCGGGGAGATAATACCCCCACCCACCGGGGAGATAATACCCCCACCCACCGGGGAGATAATACCTCCACCCACCGGGGAGATAATACCCCCACCCACCGGGAGATAATACCTCCACCAACCAGGGAGATAATACCCCCACCCACCGGGGAGATAATACCCCCACCCACCGGGGAGATAATACCTCCACCAACCAGGGAGATAATACCCCCACCCACCGGGGAGATAATACCCCCACCCACCGGGGAGATAATACCTCCACCAACCAGGGAGATAATACCCCCACCCACCGGGGAGATAATACCCCCACCCACCGGGGAGATAATACCCCCACCCACCGGGGAGATAATACCCCCACCCACCGGGGAGATAATACCTCCACCCACCGGGGAGATAATACCCCCACCCACCGGGGAGATAATACCCCCACCCACCGGGGAGATAATACCCCCACCCACCGGGGAGATAATACCCCCACCCACCGGGGAGATAATACCCCCACCCACCGGGGAGATAATACCCCCACCCACCAGGAGATAATACCCCCACCCACCGGGGAGATAATACCCCCACCCACCGGGGAGATAATACCCCCACCCACCGGGGAGATAATACCCCCACCCACCGGGGAGATAATACCCCCACCCACCGGGGAGATAATACCCCCACCCACCAGGGAGATAATACCCCCACCCACCGGGGAGATAATACCCCCACCCACCGGGGAGATAATACCCCCACCCACCGGGGAGATAATACCCCCACCCACCGGGGAGATAATACCCCCACTCACCGGGGAGATAATACCCCCACCCACCGGAGAGATAATACCCCCACCCACCTGGGAGATAATACCCCCACCCACCGGGGAGATAATACCCCCACCCACCGGGGAGATAATACCCCCACCCACCGGGGAGATAATACCCCCACCCACCGGGGAGATAATACCTCCACCCACCGGGGAGATAATACCCCCACCCACCGGGGAGATAATACCCCACCCACCGGGGAGATAATACCCCCACCCACCGGGAGATAATACCTCCACCCACCGGGGAGATAATACCCCCACCCACCGGGGAGATAATACCTCCACCCACCGGGGAGATAATACCCCACCCACCGGGGAGATAATACCCCCACCCACCGGGGAGATAATACCCCCACCCACCGGGGAGATAATACCTCCACCCCCGGGGAGATAATACCCCCACACACCGGGGAGATAATACCCCCACCCACCGGGGAGATAATACCCCCACCCACCGGGGAGATAATACCTCCACCCACCGGGGAGATAATACCCCCACCCACCGGGGAGATAATACCCCCACCCACCGGGGAGATAATACCCCCACACACCGGGGAGATAATACCTCCACCCACCGGGGAGATAATACCTCCAACCACCGGGGAGATAATACCCCCACACACCGGGGAGATAATACCTCCACCCACCGGGGAGATAATACCCCCACCCACCGGGGAGATAATACCCCCACACACCGGGGAGATAATACCTCCACCCACCGGGGAGATAATACCTCCACCCACCGGGGAGATAATACCCCCACCCACCGGGGAGATAATACCCCCACGCACCGGGGAGATAATACCCCCACACACCGGGGAGATAATACCTCCACCCACCGGGGAGATAATACCTCCACCCACCGGGGAGATAATACCCCCACCCACCGGGGAGATAATACCCCCACCCACCGGGGAGATAATACCCCCACCCACCGGGGAGATAATACCTCCACCCCCGGGGAGATAATACCCCCACCCACCGGGGAGATAATACCCCCACCCACCGGGGAGATAATACCCCCACCCACCGGGGAGATAATACCCCCACCCACCGGGGAGATAATACCTCCACCCACCGGGGAGATAATACCTCCACCCACCGGGGAGATAATACCTCCACCCACCGGGGAGATAATACCTCCACCCACCGGGGAGATAATACCTCCACCCACCGGGGAGATAATACCCCCACCCCCGGGGGAGATGGTCGCAAAAACTGGTGGTAGTATGGTGGGTATGCCAGGGGGGTGGGGGGGGAGCTAGGCATGGGGCGAGAGTTGCTCAGTGTTAGTTTACGGGGCGGGCGGCGGGTGGTGAGGGCGGCACACACACACACACACACACACACACACACACTCACACCTCAGGTCAACACTTCTCACTCACACTTCTCTTGCTTACTATCGACGCCTCGCCACCATGATCTGTTAACACATCAGTACAGCAACTACAGCGGGTAGATAACTTGAGCATATCAACTTCTGGTGACTAATTGATGCACAAACTATGCAAAGAATGAGCCGGTGTTTACTTGTACTAATTACCACCGCTTTGTAACGAGGTACACAACTACTGTTCAAGTTCAAGTGTGTTTATTGAGATAAGCAATAAATACATCTCAAAGGGATAGAGTAGCTTAGGCTATTTCTATCCCCCCTGGTAGCCTGGTACCCCCTTACAACTACTGTATTTACAGTTAGCGTCCGTTAACGATAGCCATATGGCCCTGCCCCCCCTCCCTCCCTCACCTGTGAGTGAGGGCCCCTCACCTGTGGAGGGTAGAGTTGCCGCGCGTCGCTATAGGGAGGGAGGCCAGCCAGCCCTCAGGAGACACCACCAAGAAACTGCAGAGTTGCTCACAATCTCGAGTTAGTTTCCTGCCAATCTGGTCGACGGGAGGACGGGTGTCGCTCCCCCCCCGCCTGCGTGTGTATGTGTGTATGTGTCAGTGCCCGTGCCCACAGGTGTCCGTGCCCACAGGTGCCCACAGGTGCCCACGGCGGTGAAGCTATCTGACGGAGGACATGTGTAGGAGGGGCGCGCCCAGCTGCTCCTAGGGGACCCTAGCATGCTGTGAGGACTTGTCCTGCAGGAGGTGCTCCACCGAGCATGGAGGTGAGGCAGGAGTGTCTGACCCGCGGGTCCTCAGGGGGGGGGGGGGTAGCAGTGTGGGGGGAGGTGAACAATAGCAGTGTGAGGGGGGAGGGATTAACAAAACCAACGTGGTGGAGAGATGGGGTTACAATAGCCGTGTGTGGCCGAAAAGTTAACAATAGGAGTGTGGGAGGAGGAGTTAACATTATCAGTGTGGGAGGAGGAGTTAACATTATCAGTGTGGGAGGAGGAGTTAACATTATCAGTGTGGGAGGAGGAGTTAACATTATCAGTGTGGGAGGAGGAGTTAACATTATCAGTGTGGGAGGAGGAGTTAACGTTATCAGTGTGGGAGGAGGAGGAGTTAACAATATTAACTTTAATATCAATATCAGCAGGAAGTCAATAGTTGATCTCCCACTGTGGTTCAGGTTATAATCAAATTATCATATTGAAGAAACGTCAAAAGGGGTGATGACAGCAATTACCAGGAGCGGAACCACTAGATCCTGCATCTAATTACCCCTTGTCATACCATCGTCCCATACTGTGACTCGGTTCTCTCGTCTGGGATAATACTGTGACTTTCACTGTCGGGGTAACTGTGCTATAATTCTCATTTTGTGTATACCTTGTAAGAAAGAATAATTATTAAAGTTTACATATAAAGAGAGTGATTCAACAGTAGTCGTTAGAGCAGTGTTAGGTTAACCATACGAGTGTGGGGGGGAGGGGGATATCTTGAGATGATTTCGGGGCTTTTTTAGTGTTCCCGCGGCCCGGTCCTCGACCAGGCCTCCACCCCCAGGAAGCAGCCCGTGACAGCTGACTAACACCCAGGTACCTATTTTACTGCTAGGTAACAGGGGCATAGGGTGAAAGAAACTCTGCCCATTGTTTCTTTCCGGCGCCTGGGATCGAACTCAGGACCACAGGATCACAAGTCCCGCGTGCTGTCCGCTCGGCCGACCGACCGGGGAGGGAGAAGGGGGTTAACAGTAGCGGTATGGGGAAAAGAGAAGAGGTTGATTCTCAGTTGATCTCTCCATGATTTAGGTCCCCCATGACCAGCAGTTTAGCTCTCATTCTGGGCGCTGTTGTTCATCTATATATGCCTTGTTGTTGTTGTCTTCATACTGTTGTCTGAGCCTTCTACTGTTTGGTGGGGGATTGTTGATTACCAAGATCACAATCTTCCTCCCATCACCTGTAAGAGTTCCAAGTATGGAGGTTGTGTTTCCATTAGTCCCCCGTTACTCTAGTTCATCAAACATTAATTTTCACTTTATTAGGAGTGTCACTCCCCTTCCCTGTCTCTCTGTCCTTTCTTTCCTTAACACTTGGTATCCTGGGAGTCGAGCGGACAGTACGCTAAACTTGTGATCCTGTGGTCCTGGGTTCGATCCCAGGCGCCGGCGAGAAACAATGGGCAAAGTTTCTTTCACCCTTTGCCCCTGTTACCTAGCAGTAAAATAGGTAACTGGGTGTTAGTCAGCTGTCACGGGCTGCTTTCTGGGGGTGGAGGCCTGGTCGAGGACCGGGCCGCGGGGACACTTAAATGGCCCCGAAATCATCTCAAGATAACCTCAAGAAGATCCCCTTGGAAAGATTGCACCCGAGATCATGTAATTGACTTTAGTTTCCACTAATGCAATTATTTCTGGATCTGCTTCACTAAGCCTCTCTTTTATTTCTTCTGCTTTATTGGATACTCAATCAGCATTGGTGTACTATACCTTGAGACTTTTCTTGGAAACTCTGTTAGCAGAGCTCACATGGCTCATCTACCTTCCTGTCTCCTCTGGTGTGTGCTGCAGGTGAGAGGTGGATGCTGTCCTAGCTCCAATAAGTGGTTGTGAGGCGGGAAGTGCCTGGGAATAGGGAGGGGGAATGAGAGGCTGAGGGTGATCTGGGAGCCAGGGGGGTGTAGATGGGTCTGGGCAGCTATGGAGGTGTGAAGAACATAGTGGGTCTGAGAGGTAGGATGGGCCTGAGAGGCATAGGGGGCTGTGAAGTAGAGTGAGGCTGAGAATCAGACAGAGGTTGAGAAGTAGAGGGGAGTATGGAGCATGGGAGGGAGGAGGGGGGGTGTAACACCTGGTAATTATTTGTAACACCAGTATATAGTACCACTAATGGTTACACTGGAACCAAAGGTACCCAAAAAAAAGGAAATACTACACAGGATTAACTACACTGCCACCATCTGTCTTGTCCATTAACTATATCAAGCAACGAGGCAAGAAACATTGCTTGATTTGGAGAGTCATTTCTTTCTTTCTTTCTTTAACTGTCATTAATTATGGGACGGTTGTTAGCAAACTATATCTAGAGGCTAAGAGGATTCAACAATTGACACAGATGGGAAGTTTAACACAAGTTTATTGAGAACAAAATTATGCTATTCACCACTCTAAATCCTACTCTAACACTGTAACACCCATGACCCCCCCCCCCATCCCGCCCTTAGAGTTCACACCCAGGGAAGCCTTCTCCAAGAGGTCAGCCCAGATGACCTCCGGATTATCTTGAATGTTGATTAAAATTTCCTGGGTTAGTCTTAGCCAGCTAGTTTCAAGTATGTAATATTTCATGATATTCTTGTCAAACATTGCAATGGAATTAGACCCCCAGATTCTTATGTGTAAACATCCATGGATCTCCTCCTTTTAGCCAGGTCAGAGGTCAGTCACACACGTAATTAATAATTCCTCTCTTGAAGAGTGTATGGTGAATGTCACACAAGCTTAATGGAAAAGTTCTTGAGTGTTTGTGCACGTGTGGCCCGACCTCTTGCATCTTTGGTGTAGGTAGCAACAGCAAATCTCCCCCTCCAATTTTTTGGGGTGTATATATATATGGTCCTGTATCAGACTCAGTAGAGAGAGTGCCGGACACCAGGGTCCAGAGTGGGTCTGTGAGGAACATCACACAGCCCGGGAGAGACAGAGTGAATCCACCGGATGGAGAGACAAAGGTCTTAAGGTAATGTGTGTGATCTCTGAGGTTTTGTTCCATGTCTAAATTTCTTAACTATTGGCCAGTGTTAGAGTAGGATTTATAGTGGTGAATAGTGTTACGGTGCCCTCTCCTATTTCTTTCGTTTGCCGGCTTAAAGAGTCATATCAGCTCTCCCTACTGATTCTCTGAGGTTCAGGGAGTCTAATGATATATGTGGCGACCAGACCGGCTGCCAGTTAATGGAAGGGGGTTATATTATAAGTTGTAAATAAAGGAAAGTTGGCGCCCTGATATAAAATGAAACAGTATCCCCTACGGCAGATATGACCTTGTGGAAGGGACACTATGCCAATCGCGGATTGGCCGACGTAGGTCGCGGGCGACAAATCAGGGCCCGCCATGACGTCACCGAGTGCCCCGGGCGGCGCCAACGTCAGAGTTGTACTGACCGTGGAAGCGACAGGACGCGCCTCGGTCTGCTCTCAAGGATTGGAGGCTCTGCAAGCCTTGTTCAGTGGATTGAGCTGGCCTTCGTTGCCCACCATAGTTATTGGAGACCCTGCGCTTCTGGGAAGCCAAAGAGGAACCAAGTTCAGTGAGCAGAGAAGTGCCAAACTTGGAAAATAGTCGGCGACGACGCTGGGCGGCGCCGCTGGCTGGACGTTGAGGTCTGGAAGGTGGGCGAGCAAGCTAGCTGTGACTGGGGTCACATCCACTGAGAATCTTGGAAGGACGACACCGTGCCTAGGACAAGGAGCGACGCCCTGTGGGAGAGGCGAGTGTGGGGAAAAATAGTGATTAGCTCAGCGCCCATCGATGAACCAGGATTGGGGCAGCTGAATCTCAGGGATTGGAACGGCGACGACGCGAAGGCTTCACGACACCTGAGGACCTGTGGAACGCCCTGGATCGTCGAGGATCGACCCAAGGAAGCGTGGGAACCTCACACCATCGAGGGACAGGCGTCGTGAGCCAGGAGTGTAAGGTAGATCATTTTTCCCTCCCATTACCCCTTGTATGAGTAGGCTAGTTAGGCCACAATATTTACTTGTGTATGTGGCAGCAAGACTTTATTACTTTAATAGTAGAGTAGGCTGCAAGGCAGCTTGTGTCCAGGACTGTCAGAGAGGACAGTGTGTATGGATGGCAGGACAGTGAAGAAGAGGTGCCGACGTGGTGAAGAGGCCCTCCTGTGAGAGTGTGAGACTCCTGTCTTCCTGCCCAGTTGAAGGAGAGTTGGAGGTCGTGGAAGAAGAGGCTGACGATCTCCAGACTCATTATCCATATTCCATATTCATGTATTACTTGTGATTGTGTGTGTGTGTTCATGTAATTTGCGTCAGTAAATCCACACATTTTATTACTGTGTTTGAGTGTGCCTCCATTTACGATATTTCTCTATGAGCATACATTTCTGGCTACAAACGATATATGGTACACCCACTGAACTGCATTGCTGGGGTGCAGATATAATAACCCAGCTGGCGACCTTGCTAAGAGGAAGATAGAGAAGACAGGCGGGAAAGGAGTTCCTGCAACCTTTTTTGTCTGGCAGGCAAGACTCAGGGAGGTTATGGTTATAGGTAAGCCTGAGTCTTCCTTCACTCCCCCACGGGTCTAGGCCGGAACTGTTAACAGCAGTTTCCCCGTGGTTGACTGAAGGGCTTCCAGGGTGAATCAGTGGCACCCCTTTGTGGTGGAAGCAAAGACCTGCGGAGGTGGGCATTGTTGGTCCTATCTTGTGTGACCAAGGAGACTCCGGTGTATCCAGGGAGTCGGAGGGGCTGAGTATTTGGGCCTTTTGAGCCCCTAGCAGTTAAGTGTTAGCAGAGCCCCGGACCGCCCACCCCCACGTGACAAGGGAACTGGCGACCTTGCCAGGATTCGAACCCCAGTAGCCAAGAACTGGGAACCTCGCCAGGAAGCGTGGATCAAGCTACAGTGTGGACCAAATTTCAAGACAAGTGTTGCCAGGGTACTAATACAGTGTGGCCAGTGAATTCGGTGGTACTGTTACTCAACCGGCTAAGGGACTGAAACGGTGAAATTAGTGCCTACTA